TAAACCACTGTTTTAAGTTACATTGACAATGTGATAATTTTACTAAGTTCTCCAGAATCTCCACAATGTGGGTTCCCTGTGGCAGTCTCAAGCTCCCTGGAACAAGAGCCCTCCCTGCCCTCCCACTGCAGCTGCTGTGCCAAGTGACAGTGAGGAGCCCCAGCTCGTTTCCCTCCCGTACCACAGCTTCCTCCTCCTGCCTGGCACAGAGCAGCTGTGCTGACCTGCCCCTCTGCCTGCAGCTGCTCTGTGGCCTTTGATTCATGGACCAAAACAGGAAATGGAGCTAAAATGCCCCTTTCTCTGGTGCTGTGGCAGTTAACAAACCCAATTACTGGGACCAGAATCAAATAGGAATTTGGAATAGCTGTTGGCATTGGATTGACTCCCCTCTGCCTGACACCAGCATTACAGGGAGGTTTATCCTGAGTTTGGTCTGTTCCCACTTGGTCCCAGCTTGCAAAACTGGAACTGAATTTCCTTCGTTTAAACCTTATCCTAAATTAGGCCTAGAAGGTAAACATGACTTAGCAAAGTGGTAATCCCTCATCTCTGCATGCCCAGCATCAGCCAGTGACCCTCATGTCAGCCCCAGAGAAACTATTTCCCTTTCTGCTCTTTATAAACAATCCTGAGTGACCTGAAAATACTTTTGCCTGTTTTTCCTTTGGAATTTTAGAAGCATTAGGTGTACCTTTGCTTGACAGCTTTCCCATGTCTCTGCCTTGAGCTCAAGCATTAGTCAGAGGTGAATCTGAATGGGAATCATGAACTTCCAGGAGCTTGACAGTGTAGTAGCTACAAAGAAAGCTGCAGAATGAACCCCCCTTTAATCCTCAGCCACTTCTCACATGCTGGATGTTGAGCCCACTAAATCTTAGCAAAAGCAGACCTTTCCCTATTAACAAAGATCCCAGTTCCCATTTAAGCAACCAGGAGGGCAACGCAGCCTTTCAGACCTGATATTCTGTGGTATCCAAAAGAACATTATCTCTGCTCTCTAAGCCACTGGGGCATTGCTCCCCTGCAGACACTCAGCACGAGGCAGCAGCAGCCACTGAACAGGCTGGTGCAAACCCTGAACCTCACCCAGCACAGCAGCAGGTTTTGGTGCCCTTTCAGCCAGGCTCTGTTGTCACCTTTCTCCATGCACCACATTCCTATTCACCAGACCTGGCCTGCTTTGGGCTCAGAATATTTCAGTTGGGGGTGGTTCTGCAAAGGCATCTCTGAAGGCCCAGCAGCCCCTGCCCCTTTCTCCCCTCCACCAACCCCCGTGGTGTGCAGGGAAGTACCGGGAGTTCCACCGGCTCTACGGGGAGAAGCGGTTCCCGGAGGCGGCGCGGCTGCTGCTGACGCTGATGACGGCCCACATCGCCCCCTGCTCCTTCTGGATGACCCTGCTCACGGACGCGCTCCCGCTGCTGGAGCAGAAGGAGGTGAGATGGCTGCTCACACCCAGAGCCCTCCCCACCCCTGCTTCCTCCTTGATCTCAAAGCAGTGACCCCTTTCCTGCCCCAGGACTTGCATTTCCAGTGCAGGAACTGTCCATGGCAGTGCCGTGTGTCCCACCAGGGACCCAGGATGAGATAACCAATTCTTACCTCTGTTCCCTGCTTTTAGAACAGCAGTGGAATTGATCTGTGCTGGTATTTTAAGCACACGCTGCATCCAGCTCCTTTGGGTATTTGGCTTGAAGATTGTTCTAGTGTAATTCCCTCTTCTAATCCAAATTTTGCTTTAAGATCCATAAAGAGAAGGACAATTCAGCAATTACAGACCCAGAGCAGCCGCTCTGACCTTGTAGCTGACCCTGCTTGGTGCAGAAGGTGGCACTAGAGATCTCCCAAAGTCATATCCAGCCCGAATTATCCTTTGATCCTGCGACTGAAAGGGTCAGAACGGATCTGTGGGAGTGTGAAAGCATTCTCTTCCTCAAAACTGCATTTTCTCAGGCTGTGTGATGTCCTTAAACTTGATCATTCTCAGTAAATGCTTTCATTTCCACAGATCATATTTTCAGCAGAACAGACTTATGAGTTGATGCGATGCCTGGAAGACCTGACGGCAGGGAACGCGGATAAACAGAAATTCCAGGTAGGAATTTTGTTTTGAGGAGAACTGGATAATGAACTGGGGGGCTGTGGGGAATGTCAGGAAAGCTCTGCTCTTATATTCCTACATGAGGGCAGAAGAGAGGGACAGGCTGGCACAGGGTGTTCAAGGGCAGCCAAACAGGCCATCATCAAGAGAGCTTGAAATATTCTCAAACCCAGTGCAGGAGAGCTCCCACTCCTCATGTTCTGCTGGTTTGGATTAGACTGTGATGCTTTTCCAAGATAAATAATTGCAAATTACACAGGCAGTGAAAAGCTGAGGTGCTGCCATCCAGCAGCTCCAGCTCTGAGCGTTCCAGGCAGGGAACAGGGAGCCATTTGCTGCACATGCAAACCCCTGCAGCTGCCAGGGAATGAAAAGGCTTGGCACTGCTGTCCTGGGTTGAACTGTAAAGTAGGAAATGTAGTTTTTGCTGTTTGTGGGAGTCCCTGTAACAGGTAAATACACAAGGACTCTCCCTCTTAATGACCTGCATCCTTACTTTCCAAACCCAGAGAGAGACCCTGTTCCCAGCTTGTTACTGTGTGCAGTCCTCTGACCCAAGCTCTGCTCCCTTCCAGGAGGATGATGTCGAGACCACCAAAGTGGAAATGCTGAGACTTGCTCTGGCACGGAATCTTGCACGAGTCATTGTCAAAGAAGGCACCATGGAGGGGTCCTGAGGATGGCAGGATGTGATCTTCCTCTTCCTCTGGGGCTCACTGTACATAAACTGACTTTTTTAAAGAATAAATGTCTTGTTTTGCAGATTGCTTGATCATTTGTTCTTGTCTTCCATAAACAGAACTTAGATGAACATGATTTTTAACTTTTATGAAGGAGCTGCATCAAAACAGGTGCTTGGTTCCAGCTTGGCCTGGCAGCCCTCCCCTGGTGAAATGAGCCTCAGTGCAGCTTTTCCTTGCATTTCTTGGTTTCTTTACCTCTCAACACCCAGTCTGAAATGAAGGCCACTGTTATACCACTGGGGTTTTGGAAACAGCAACTTTGCCATTTTTGTTTAGTTTGGATGGCCTTGAGTCCACGGGTTGGGTTTGAGGCTTTCCAGAACCAGCAGTGCCCTCCAAGAGCCATTATGAGAAAGGGCCAGCCCAGAGCAAGGTAGGGAAAATGATTTATTCAACATGCAGCAGCACAAACTCAGGGGAGAGGTATGTACAGGTAGGGCTGTTGGGGATGAAGCAGGAACCTCGCCCTACAAACAAGGAACATTCATGGTTTAATTTCCAAAGCTTTCCACAGCGCATTCCAGGCAGCAGCACCGCTCTGCAGGAAGCACCTGCGCTCTCCTGCCTCCCTCCAGGTCACAGTGAGATCCACCTGCAGGCAGGGAAAGCAGTGGAACTGCTCCTCAGGACACACTGCCCCGACCCAAGCACTGCCCCCATGCCTGCTTGTGTCTAAAGTGCTGGCAAGAATGTGCCTGAGGCAGAGAGAATTCCCTCCTTGTCCCTTATCCCAGTCCATGGATTTAGAACTGCTTTAGGATCCAAACAACACACCCATCCCTCTCACCTGCCTTCTACGCTGGGGGAGCTGACAAGGCTGAGCTCTCCATGAGCTTGGATTCCACCTTCAGGGGTTTCTACTCTGATGAGGCCCTCAGGCCTTTCACCTCTAGGGATTTTACTCTGCAACACACTAAAAATAACTACAAATAACTCCAAACTGTGTTTGCAGCCACTGTTCATTCCAGCAGCACCTTCTCCTCTGGAGTTTTCCTACAAGAGGCAGGAGTCTCCTCCTGTTTACTGTTTTTCCCTGTGCTGCTCCTGTTCCCAGTTTGAGAAGAGCTGTTGCTTGACAGCACTGCTGGAAGTGCAGAGCTGGGCGTCCAAGGACTGTCCAAGCACCTGCCTGTGCTTGTGTCAGTGGATGTTAAAACCCCCCATCCATTTACAACAGTCTGTCTCAGAGCTCATTGAGGCACTGCTTGAGATTGGAAATAGAGGGAGAAGGAAGGAGCCGCAGGAACCAAGTTTCGGAGATTTAAACCTGGTTTCTGGGAGACTGTAGCTAAGGGGTCAGTTCTCCTGCCCTGATAGCACAGAACACTGATATCCAGCAAAACTGCTTTCCCCTTTGTGGGAACAATTGCACTTTGCCACTTAATACAGGGAACAAAGAAAACAGGGCATTAACCCAGCACATGCCCCGTCACAGCCCGGGGGAGCCTCTTCCTTTCTTTGCCTGCTTGTTCTGTTTTGATACCCTACAGCTCTTCTATTTACATCTTGCAGGTCATTGTACTCAGCTCAATAAAACATAGTATTCAACTGCACTAATAATACTGCCTGCATGAGGGGACACGAGAGGCATCTCTCCTTATCCCTGGATTCAGTCACTGCCCTTCACTAGTGATTGTAAAGACAGTTCTGCACTCCAGGTGCTGTCCCTCAGTAATACTGACCAATACTTTCCAGCCCTCTTACCTTCTCACTACACATTTCCTCTTTTTCCCACACTATGGAATGCAACGGAGGCAGAAAAATAACCAGTGTAACCATTTGCAGACAAAAAACTCAGCCCCAGCTGCCCGAAAGGGAGGCAACGGGGTGGCAGCCAGCAGTATAAAATAAATAGAACAATAAAGGTACAGCAGTGTGGCACACACTTACACAGGCCCTTGGGAATGCAGCAGGAGTGTGGGGGGAGGGAGCTAAGTGCCATTTCAGTGTAAAAAAGAAGCATTCCCTCACGGAGCAGCATTATTGCTCGGCATGCTCACGGGGCTGGTCACAGTCCGAGGGAGGGCTCGTGTCAGGGCTCTGCGCTGAGCTCACGGCGGCATCATCGCCCCACCAGCCTGTCGGGATCTCCAGACAGCAGTGCAGGAACAAACCCAACTAAATCCCCTTCTGCTGACAGGTCTCCCCTCAAATTACAATAACTTCAAGTTTAATAGAGTGGAAGATAGAACCAGATTCACCCAGAGGTCATGATAAAAGCAGCCAGCACTGCCTGTCACCAGCTGCTGCTCAGTTCATGCTTGGCATAAATGTTCCAGGGCCCCTTCAAGGCGGGGCACAACATTCTGGACTAAAGCTACAAGCAGAGTGGTCAGGACATGTAAACAAAGCTGAACATCACCAGTGGATAGCATGTGTGTCCCTCCCCACGGCACATCCAGTCCTGTGGGATCCTGCCCTGGTCCTGTCACAGTCTCTGGCAGTGTCCTGAGGTCATAGATTCCCCCACTGCTCTACCGGGGGAAACTGATCCACTTCACCCACTTCTGTGCTGGGCTGGTCCCCCAGGGTGAAGGTCAGTCTGTACCTCAGCCTCACCTTCTCCTGCAGGAAAGACAAAACCCAAAAGCAACATGAGAACAGTCCCAGCTCAACAGCCACAAACAAAACACTTCACTGTTACAGCTCTACAGAGAACACAACACTTCTGTTGTACAGAGCAAGGGGAGGAGGGCCCAGGTTAAATTCACGGAGTTCAGCTACTTACAAACCTGAATTATGTTCATTTTTTATTCTACCAAAGTTGTACTGCTTTAATGTGGAGCAGGAGGAGAAAAGCATAAATAACCTCTAATCAGTTTGCACAGATGTGGCCAGCACCCATTGCTCAGCTGCTCTCCAGAGAGCCTGAATAATGGGGCTGGAATAGTTCAACATTTTCAAAATTATATCCCTCATCATATGGAGGAAAATGAAACAGTTCCTGGTCTGTGAAAATCCTAGTGAAACAGTAAGCAGGAGATGGAAGCAGTCCTTCAATGAAGGCACCTCCATGCACCTCACAAAGTTATTCCACCACAATCCACCAAACCTCTCTGACGTTCATCCTTTTGGACCTCAGAGCTTTCAGCCTATACTTTAAGAATGCTTTTGTTGTAATTCTCAAGTAGTCACAGCTAGATTTGTCAAATAATTAGAAAGTCCTTCAGCTTTGGGCTGTATGGAGGAAGCTACTGAAATAACTACAGCAAGGAAAAACAGCTACTCAGATGCTCCCAGCACAATCAGCAGAAAATGAAGTGTTAAGCCCATTGTGTCCCTGGTCACAGGTACATCCTCAGAGAATAATGGAGCAGACATGACCTGCCATTTGTCTGTTGGTTCATAAGAAGTACTGCTGCAGTACCAGCTAATTTAGCATCGATCTTATTATCATCAAAGCCAGGCACTTCAGGTGCACAGGGGAGTCACAAACCCCTCTGCTACCCTTTAAAGATGAGCCTGACATGACTCTTGCCCTTTTTCTGGGAGAAATACCCAGTCCTTCTCATACTTTTTGCTGCCAAAGTCTGTTGTAAGGAGCCTCCTCTAGGCCTGAACTGAAACACCAACATTCCCCAGTAACCACCTTTGGAAGGCACATTAGAATCACAGGATCATTAAGGTTGAAAAACACCTCCAAGATCATCAAGTCCAACCTTTTAGAAAAAAACAGCTCTAGCTGCTCAAATGCTTGGTCCCACCCCTCCATAGAGTTCAGCTGGGATCAAATGTGTCTGACATGGTCAGGATCAATCCCACTGTCCCTCTCACCTTTGCAGGATTTGCCAGAAGCATGACCTGGGTGATGGCAGCAGGCGGCTGGATAGGATTGAATGGAGACAGCTCAGTGCCAGAGGGTGGCTGTAGCTTCACTTTCATGGACTGCAAGGGAAAAAGAAAGCAGAACCTCAGGGATTATCTCCTACCTTGGGGACAATGAAAGATGCATGCACAGGCTGGGGGGACAACAGCACACATCCAAATGGAGGAGGATCAATCTACAAGTGAGGATGAGGGAAAAGAGCCAGCCCAGCTTGTGGAATGTGACAGGAACAGACAGCCCAGAGTAGAAACACTGGTCAGTGAACACCACTAGGACTTCCCTATCTGGGTGCTCCTGTCAGAGGTTTTGATGTGAACACCTTCATGACATAGACAGATCACAGCTGAGACTGGGCCATGTTCAAAACACAAACACATTCAAAATTATCTAGGTGCAGTAAGACTAGAGTGGAATGTCTTGTCAGATTTAGGATGTCTGTCAGAAATTCTGGTTCTGAAGACCTCAAGGGTAGCTCTACCCATGCAACAGACACAGCTGGGTTGATCTTGGATAGCAAGAAAAACAGAACACCTGCAGTTCTTGTCTTATCCTGTTCAGTGTTTTCTGCCTCTGACAGGAACCTTTGTGTTTTGGAAACGGGCAGGGCACAGCCTATGGAAAGACAGGACCAGGCTGTCCCAGGTCCCCAGGTCCATGCCCAGGCCTTCCCAAATGCAGTCTCACACCCCAGGGTCTGCTCCCCGTGTCCCCACCTTGGGCACAGCTGCCTGCAGCACGATGTTCTTCACGGGGAGCGGCGCCGTGTTCAGCATTGACACCACCACGACCAGCACGTCCGACCGGCCCGGGGGGCACTCCCTGGCAAAGTGCAGGAGGATCCGGAACCCGTTCTTGTCGTAGGCTGTCACTGGGAGGGCACTGCCTGAGAGAGGGGAGAGGATCCGGGTTTATGGAGCAGCAGATGATCTGAGGCAGCGTCAGGCGATCGGGGTGCTCAGCTGGGGCTGCTCATCCCCTCTCTCTCCTTCTACTTTGCCTTTAAAAATCGTTCAGAGCAAGGTGAAAAGCCTGAGATACTTACTGGGTTTAATGGATTCCAAGGGAACGTGGACATTGGCCAAAGAAATTTCAGGTGCTTTCATGGGACTGCCTTGCTGCTGGAATGATGCTGGCTGGAAGAGAGGACTTCCTGATCCAGCAGTGCAGCTGCTTGGAAAGGGAGCTGGAGGGGCTCCAGGGGCAGTGGCTGGCAGCCCTGCAGGTGCTGCTAACGGGGCAGAGGTGACAGCAACCCCTGGGAACACTGAAGGTGTCGCCATGCCTTGGGTGGCAGTCCTGCAAGAGAGACAGAAAACACATGGGGAATGGAGCTGGAAGTGAAGCAGGTATTTCACCAACCCCGAGAGATAACAGCAGACCATGAGGACAAAGCAGCAGCCTGGAGCCAGACTGGAATCTGTGACTCCATCAGGTCTCATGTGAGGAGAGCTACAGGGACAGTGGTGGTGGTTGGGTTGGGGTCACTTCTGTAAGTCAGGAAGGAAAAGCAGAGCCCCACCTTGGCAAGGGTGGGCAAGGCTGAGATGGGCAAAGGTCTCTGTACCTTTACAGCTTGTTCCACTTCCCAGCACACCTTTGGATCAGGCAACAGTACAAGCTGTGTGCTCTGCCTGCCTTTCCCTCCTGGAGGTGGGACCTTCATACTCATTTGTAAACTGAAACCTCTGACAAGAAAAATCCCAATCCCACATTTCTGCCAAACTAGAGAGTTGCAAGTCACCCTCAGAACCTGGTGCTGCAGCAAACTGGGCTTTCTAAATGCAGAGCCAAAGCAAAAACCAGGACTTTTGGTTACCCTTTGGCTTCATCAAGGAATTGTCCCAGTGCATCCATCTTATGTGACATATTGCTGCCCACAGATGAGCTGAAGTATCCAGGAGCAGCTGGAATAGTCTTGGGAGGCCCGGTAGGGGCAGCTGGTCCAGCAGAGAACACAAATGGTGCTGAGTTTGGTGCTGGAATGCTGGGAGCAGTCTGGGAGGCTGGGAAAGCAGAAGGCAGCGTGGCTGATGTCCCACACGTGGTCTGTGGTGTGTGATGGAGAAGAGGGTTCCCTGTAGGGTTGCAAGCAACAGTCACCGCCTTCGGATTGAAAAAATCCAGGTCCAGCTGGTCATTCTGAAAGAGAGGACAAGCAGATGCTCTAAATGGCTGCTCCCCCTGATGCAGAGATGGCACAGTTCTGTTACAGAGGGAAAGAGGTTTACCATAAACACAGGTGCTGGGTGGTAAACAGCAAAGTCTGTGGCCTATGTCAGGGCTACATCTGATCTGTAATTTAAGCAAAGGAAGGGCCAACATCATGGGGATGGTTGGAAAACTGAGAAAGCCAGGTTTGGGGGCATCTACTCTGTTTAAACACAGCTATCCCAGATTTTAGGGCTAAGCCAGACTGCCCCTCAGCCTGTATGTATGATCACATGCTTCTCCAAGGTGACAGTGTGTCCTGGGACCTCCCACAATGGCCACCCCTCTCTTCCCCTGAGACCCTCCTTTGTACCTCAAACATGCTCCACTGGTTGTTTTCAGAGGTGTCCTTCCCTGCTGCAGGGGCTGGGTCATTCAGGCCTGGAAGGGAAAATAACAAGGAGGTGACTGGAGGAGAAAATGAGTTCCCTTGGCTGCTGTTTCAGTACCATCAAACTACTTGATTCAGCTCTGATGAAACGCTGAGATGGGCTGCAAGTCTATGATGAGAAACAGAGACCGACAGCACCAGCAGCCAACAGTCACCTCCTGCACACAGCCCTTCTGATGCTTCAGCATTACTATCCTTCAGCCCTTCTAACCCTTCCTGACTTGCACTGTCTCCTGCTGTTCACATCTGGGCTCCACAGGCAGGCATCCTATGCACAGCCCCTCTGAGGCACCTTCTCTTTAGCACAGCCCCAAAATCAGGGCTGAATCTGTCACAAACTGCAGCCTGCACATCCAGCATGTCCGAGCACCTCCAGAGACCAGACTGCAATTGCACTCAACAGTTATTTCCTTGCAGCCAGCTCTGGGAAGAGCTTTTGATACCGACTCACTGACCAAGTCTAATATTCAGGATGATGCAAGGAAGCGTTCCCTCGACTCCAGAGGCATCTCACACTCCTTTCAAACCTGGCACAGCACAGCCAGCCTGCACAGAAGCAGCCTTTGTCAGGATGTTTGAGCAGCCCTTTTCCAGGCCTCTCAGTGTCTTACCCAAGCACAGGAGCTCCTCATCCAGCAAGGACAGGGAGTTGGCTGTGCTGCCCTGCTGAGCGGGCGCCGCTTCCACTTGGCTGGAGGAGCTGCTCCGCAGCGGCGCGAACGTCTGGGGAGGAGGTGGGAGGATGGGGATTTCAGCTGGGGCTGGGGCTGTGCTGGGGGCTGGAGTCAGGGTGGTGGGTGGCATTGGAGGTGGTGGGGTGCTGGTGACGTCCAGTCCAGCAAGGTCGATGAGGGTGTTGAGATTATTTGTGGAGTTACTCCCTGCAGCGGACAGGAGAAGAGCACTACTAGGAAAGAAGGCAAAAGGCTCAGAGCAAACCCCGTGCACAGAAGAAATTAGCAGAGAGATGGTTTAGATATCACAGATCCTCATCTGATCATGGCTTATGGCTCTTTGTAACAGAGAACAGGTATTTGCTGTCCTCAGACCATGTAAATCAACCCAGATACCTCAAGAATTCCTACATGAAAACCTCTTGCAACCACTGCTCCTTCCCCAGTGCTTCTTGTAGCACAACTCATCGTCCTTTCAAAATCTTTTGAGCTCAGATGAGGCTTTGGGAGATCCTACAGCTCTACAATAAACAAAGGCTACCAGAGGGCTGGAGAGCTGAGGAAAATTCATACTGTTTTCATTTCATACTTAGGACAGTCTTGTCCCAGTAAGATGCTGCCAGGCAGCATCACACATTCCTGCTCTCCAGGCAGGAATGTTACAGTTACTCCCAAATGGTAATTCTGTCACACACACGTCCAGAGCTTTCAATGGGGAAGCTGAAGTGTAAAGTGGGCAACTGGCCCAAATTCACAAATGGAATTGCTGGCCAGGAACAGGACCCCTGACCCAGCTCCCATTCTCCAACTCTTGTGTTTTCGATAAAATTGTCTTCTTACATGTCACCGTTAAGAAACAGGACAAATGTGGGGAGGAAAATGTGTGAGAACTTCCAGTCACACAAACTGCTCAGCTGCAGATTTGCTACTGATGTCATCATAGGTTTCAATTATATGGACTGAGAATGGAAAATGCAAAGCTGCAGCACTGTTGCTCAAGTCCAGAATTGTTTAACCACAGCCTAGAAACCTTCTTGTCCCTTCTGATTCACAAACTGTTGGCCACAAAGAACCATCAAAACCCCCTTCACCACAATTAACAGGAAACACTGTTCAAAAGATTTAGAATTGCAGGATTCAAAAGTCACACAGATGGCTTCCCAAGAACTCACCTTCCACTACAGACATCCCAGGCAGATCCACTTCACCATTGATCACTTGCCCCTCTATTATTTTTTTATAGGAATTTATCACACGGGATAAATTGTCACTGGCCTGCAGAATATCCCCTAAATGCAAGAGAGACAAAAATGACCTCCAAGGCTTTAATCACTTTGTTTCCACTAATGCTGAGAGTGCTCAGTTATCAACTAAATAATCCAAGAAAAAACATAAATATTTGGCTATGAGCTCCATTATCCTGTCTGTGCCACACTTCTCTAAGCAATACCCTGACCTTTCTAGCTCCCAGCAAATTGCAGTAACAAGGAAAAAAATGTGTTCAAGGCTGTTCTCCACAGCAAATCCCCTTCCCTCCCAAAGCAGTTGTCTCCCATCCCTGTCCCCAGCCTCCTGAAACACCAACTCTACTGCCCAGTCCTTGCCTGAACTGATATGATAAAGAGGCAAGGATTGTCCTTTATCTGCTTGCTCAAAGCAACAGCCACCCACAGTGTTGAGGTGTCTTTACAGCTGGTCCCTTGCACAGACACAGGTCACAAAAGCAATTAAAAAAGGATAAGTGTAGCTCAGTTTACCCAAACTGCTGTCATTGTCCTCTGTCTCACTGGCCAGCTTGAACAGCGTCCGCCTTTTGGTTTCACACCTTTCGTAGAGCTCCTGGAGGACAGATTAGGACAAAGGGTTTCATCAGCCAGGAGCCACTGCCAGCAGCACCAGTCAGCACAGAAGGACTCCCAGCCATGCACTGGGGAGCCCAGAACAGAGCCCAGTCTTGCTGTGCTGACTGTGCCAGTGTGGCAGGACAACCAGGACCCCGCTCCCTGCCCCGTTCAGAGCTGAGCCCGGGGGTCTAAACACAACCTGCATTTCCAACACGCCATCTCTCAGTCCTCCCTCACACCAGCACTTAAGGACAGCTCTAGTCCCAAAGAGATGTTCATTCCTTTTATTACAGGAGTTCCTAAAAGCCCAAGGAAGAGTAGAATTGTGCTTCAACAATTAGGCTTCAGTTGTGCTGCAACTACTACTCAGAGTCTGCAACCACACAGCAGAAAGGTGGCAAGAACGAAATTTTTCACAGCAACAAACCAGTTTCTTAAGCTTCTTACCATTGTTTCAGGAGCTTGTTGTTAAAAATGAATAGTTTTTAACTTTTAAAATTAGATAATTGGCAACCCTTCAAGGCTCTGGGCCTACCCAGTGGCTGTTCTGATTTTTACCTTCCTGATGTTCTCCCAACCCTACAAAATGAGCTAAAACTCTTCCTCTGAAGGGGAGGAACCATTTTCTGCTCTATTCAGTCTTTCGTTTCTCCATTTCCAGTGCTGTACAGGACGGCTATGACCTGCAATCTGTGTGTCCTAATAGGATCAAAGATTACAAACTGCAGCTTCCTGATTCTGCCACGCTGCACCTTTGGAGAACAGCTGCACCTCACTTCAAGCATGTGCAAAACTGAGCTACTCCCCACTGGGTCCCTTGGTAAAAGGTGATAAAAACAGGGGTGTTTTCTTGCCTGCTGTTTCCAGCAACCACTTTTGTTTCTCACCATTGCTCTCCATTTTACTGCACTGTTTGTAAAACTCTGCAAAACTCAAGTCTGCAAGAAGAAAGGACTGACTCCAGGATTTCTGGGAAGAAGGAGCAGCTCAGACCCACCTTCATGAGCTCCCTGTCGGCCTCTGATGAATCCTCTTTGCTGTAATGAACTAACATCTCATTCAGCAGCTTGACATTGTTGTTCACCTCCTCCAGAGTGTGCATGCGCTTCGTCACCTTCTGAATCCGAGCCTCGTCCTTCAGGGTGTAAAGCACAGACAGAAAAGGTGAGCTTCCCTGCAAAGGTCCAGGTATCACAACCACAGGTATTATCTGTGAACATGTCAACTAATGTCCATTTACCCTGTATTTCCAAAAAGTCTCATTAAAAAGACTTGAATGTATAATTATTCCACTGAAAAATAGAAAAGTTCCCAGAAGTTCTTTCGGGTAGTTCCTTTTCAGATTTTTTTTTTGTTCATTTGTTTTGGTTTTTGGGTTTTTTTTTGTTACTTGATGCTATTTAACAAAATAGATGTGTTTCAAGTAATACATTTACTAGGAACAAGCAGCACTCTCTGGAGAAAAATGTCCACCCATCTCTGATTTAGGATTCCAATTAAAGATGAAGGAGAGTCTGCCCTGGGGACACGAGAAGCTTGAATGGAAACATTTTGATAACCTATACATCCTCTCCAGTCTAGAAACTATACCCTTTTTTTTGCCAGAATCCCAGTGAGTCATTTCCTGGACTCCAGAGTTTGGAATGACTGCCCTGGGTGGATGCATCACAGCTCTACAAACAGGAAGGTGTCTCCACGAAGCCTGTTTGTGAGAAGACCCAGTGCAATGACTCAGCCCTCAGCACCCAGGGGTGGTACCTCGATGCTCTCCCCCAAACCCTGACATGAAATATCACTTTGAGTGATTAGAATGTACTTAATTACAACAAGGGACATTCAATTCTTGCCATGTCCTCCATGAGAGATACCAATTGTGGACATTTCTATGACAGAAACATCCCCCAGGTGTTAGAGCACAAATCTCAAGCACTCCACCATTTTGAAGTCAAATTGCTTAATACCTGGAAGGCAGATTGCTGACCTGGACCAATCCTACAGGAATTTCTTACCTCTTTTACCATGGATTTTATAAGCTTGTTGGCCTCTTGTAAATCATCTGGGTTTTTGCTTTTCAGCAGTTTGGCTAGAAGCTGTAAGACAAGAAGAGGATACTGAGGAAACAAATAAAGACTCTTTGGCAAAGGGAAAGGAATCTAAGTGACCAATTCAGGGGAAAAGGGATACAGACCATTATTACAAAGCTTACACAGCTGTCACAGATACAAGGACTTTGGCAGGAATCATTTATGGTTTATTATCTTATATGAGTTGCTGTGTTCCTCCTTCTACACAGGACTGTGAAATCTCAGAGACTTCTGGTACTAGACAGTTATTCCTCCCAGGCATCATTTTTGGTCCTGTGTGTGAAACATTCTCTGCCTTGCAGGGCTACAGCAAGATGGCACTTGCACCAAGAATAACCCCATAATGGTAACACAGACAATGCCTTAATGGGAACTTTGGGTTAAGCAGGTGGGAAAAGCAGTGAATTTTGCAAAAGCACACACCACCATGCCCAAATAAAACCCACATTATTATCCTTTGCTTCCTTATTCTAAATATGCACTGATTAATCACTTTTCATTAGGGATTATGATACAAATCTTCACTGTACCTTGGATTTCTCCTCATCATCAAACACAGGGTTTTTGGGACGAGGTGGTGGAGAAGGAATCAGGGTTCTGTCTGCAGGAATCACAGGATCAAACATGACAATCCCTGGAAGCAGAAAGGGAATCCCATGGGTTGGTACAGTCACACCAGGCAGTGCTCCCAGGTATTCCCAGGCTGCTGCCAGTGCCAACACACACTCTGCCCACTGACACTGCCCTGCTGTCCCAGTGAACAATACAGATACAAATCCCTGAGCATGGCAGATGATTTTTACCTTGATGTTCCCCCAGCCCCTCAATACGAGCTAAAACTCTTCCTCTGAAGGGGAGGAACCATTTTCTGCCCCATTCAGCCTCTAATTTATCCATCCCCAGTGCTACAAGGGACAGTTATGACCTGCAGTCTGTGTGTCCTAATAATACAGGATGGTTTCCAGACAAGAATGGTTTCCTGTGTTGAAGCTTCTGAGCTTTTTTCACTGTGCCTGCACAAGAAATGTGCCTCAACTGAACCAAAGGTACAGCTGCAAAGCCATCTCGTTAGAACAACACAAAAGGCGACTTGGAGGCTCTTATTTCACTTTAAATTAGATTTGTTCAAATCATTTAATAACTAGTTCCACCAAAAAACTCACCAAAACCAAACAACTTAAAAAAGGCCCTTCGAACCAAAACTAAAGTATTTGCAAGGTATTTAACTAATTAAGTTAAAAAAACCAACCCAACCCAGCCCAAGGCACTTAAACATAATGAAAAGCTTTTCAGAGAATTTCTCCCTTTTTCCATCTCCCCTCAGAGCTTGCCTTGACCCCATTTAATTAGAAGCTGTATATTTTGTGACACTCCTGCTTAAAGCACAGCACCAGAAAATGCATGAATGAGCAGCTGACTTCCTACCTTGTCTCTTCAGCATGTAATAGGCATCCTTGATTTTGGATTCTTCTGGCAATGCCACTGTCCAGCTATACAGCAATTCAATTACTTTGGACTTCACCTTCTCTGAGACTCGGTCTCCCAGGTACTAAGAGTGGAAAAAAGAAGTAAATTCTCCATGTTCCTAGTTTCTTTTTAAAAATAAAGCTCAAAGCCAAAAGCTCAGTGATATACATTAAAAGGTGTATGATCCAAGTTCCAAGATAATCTAAGATACACCTTATTAAGAGGAAAAAATGCTCCTCTAAGAGATTTGAAATAACAGTGAAGAGAAGCTTTGTTATTATCTTCAGCAAACAGAAAAAGCAGATGTTCTCTTGGCTTCAGGATTTTGCTATTTAAAAATTAGAGCAATCAGATAACCACCCCCTCCCCTGTCTTATGGGAGAGAGTCTGGGAATACTTTGCTGCATCAATCATGCCCTGGGGATGATGTTCACCATGTTAAACTGATCATGAATGCCCAGGGACTTAGCCAGGCACCCTTTACACAGCAAGTCAGCAGCAGAGTGAGGACTAGAACTCTATGGTGTGTTACCAAGTCTCTTGTTTTAATCTCTACATCACAGTTCTCCTCCACTATCACTGGAGTTTTGTTTTTTAAAACAACACAGCCTGAGTTTTAGAAGCCCTTGAGTCACATGAAGGATTAGAAGAGCACAGAGACTGTATACTGATGGTTAATAAGTACATCTTAATGAGAAAAATACTAAGCAGAGCATAAAAAACCCCAGACAACAAAAATTCAGCTAACAAATGCTCTTGAGTACAGGCTAATAAATGCAATGAGCCAGACAGAACACTGCAAACATTTTGGATGTTGCCTGTAGCTTACGGATGTCAAACAAAAAGCAACCACAGCCACAGAGTAAGGGACTAACCTTTGGAGACACAACTTTTATTAACTCGTTTAAAAAGCGGAACTTCCCAACTTCATTGTGAAATCTTCTCCCACAATTCTTCATACAAGCTTCCAGCACCTGCATTCAAGGAACAAAAACAGGGGCTGAAACCAAAACCCTACAGTAACAGTGTGTGTTCTGCTTATAGGGAAGGTGAAGGGCCCGTGTCAGTGGGACACATATTCCTGCTCCATACAGGCATCAGTGTCCCATCTTCAGGGGTGACACATCAGGGCTTGGTGTCCCACCCTCACCAACTGTCTCTGGGTCTGTTTTATCACCATTAGGTCTCACAACAATGAACACAAATCTTGCTGAAGGTAACAAACAAAAGCAGCTCAAACTAACCCAGAGTTACCTCTGGCTGCTCTGTGGCTGATGAGCAGGTTGGACACTTCAGGGATGGAACTGTGCTCCCTCCCACTGTCCACTCCCTCCCAGGGATGGGAATCAGGGCACTCAGCCCCCAGCTGACCCCATGGACACTCCCCGAGCTCCCCTAAGATGATGTAATAGGATACATGACTGGATTTAAGAGGAGGGGTAAGGACTACCTACTGTCAAGGCTTGGACTGCCTCCCATTCCTGTGGAGACTGGATTTTATGAGCCAGGAGTCTCACAGCAATCTGTGGCCTGGAACAGAGCAGAGCCCTGTTACACACCAAGCAGGCAAACACAATGGAGGATTTTCAGACTTTCACAAATTCTGCTGTTTAAATGAAATGTCTTCCACACAATTAAAAGGAAATGCCATTAAGTGCTTTTTATCTTTCCACCACAAAGGCTAACAAGAAATTCTCAGGGCATCTTTGTAAGCCTGGGTGTCTTCACATGAAAGGGAGTGAGGGCTGGTAGTCTGAGCCAGCAATTCCAGACTCCTCCTTGGGAGGGGCCAAACAACTCCCAGTACAGTTCCCAGCCCAGGAAATCACTTCATTTCTCTTGTATTTTTTTTTCCTTTTTCCAGAATAAAACAGTTCTTCCTTAGCTCTCAGGAATGCTGTGAGCCAGGAGGTTTCCTCAGTTAAGCCCAGTGAAGATTTTAAAGATGTGAAGCCCCACCAGCACTGTCAGTGACAACCCCATTTTACAGGCTGCAAAACAGGGTAGTTTTGGCCAGAGGAGAACCCTGGAGCTGCAGAAGCTGAAATCAGAGGCAAATTCAGAATTCCCAGTTTCTCAGTGCTCAGTCTGACTGAGCCACACTGCCTTTCACAGAACAGAAACACTTCACAGCATCTTGTGTCTGCTGTAGCCAGATCTCCCTTGTGATATCAGTATATATAAAGAAAATGGGAATGTTTGATGATGAAATGACACATTTTAAACTGTGAATGTTAATTTATGAAGTCTAGAGCAGTTTGGGACACCCACCCTTCAAGTTCTTTGTTGATCTGGTCACAGAATCCAATGATGTATTCCCAGTCTTCTTGCCTGTTAGATGGGTTGGTGGCCTTATCTTTGGCAAGGGAAAGAGAACATATCACCAATGAACAACAGAAACAGTATAAAAGATCACACATTTCCTAGAGAAAACCATTTGACACCCTTTGCCAGCTACAAAAAAGGAGAAAGAAGTTCACACATGGTACTTCTGTTCAGGGAAAGGGTGTGTCCAAGCTGAGACATCCAAATATCCAGCAAGAATCACTGCTTTCCAAAGGAAACAGGTGCCAAATCTCAAGTACTTAGAAACAGGCTATTCCCATACTCTAAATGAGAGCACAGGACAAAATATTGCAGCTCACAGTTTCCTCTGCCTGAAATGCTGTCTCTATCTATTTGGCTGTAACATTAAATTCCTTAAAGGTTAAACCCTCACATTTTCTACACAGGAAATTATTTTTGTATTCCCTGGGAGCTTTGCAGAAGCAAGAGCTGGAACATCAGATGTCTAATATAACTCATTTAGCATTAACACTTGTTTTTGGAGTGCCAGCTGATTTGATAGATGCCTCAGCATTTCTCCTGGGAATTAGGAACTGAAATTTATTATTATAAATTGAGTTCTTCTTGCAAGTAATAAACACCACAGCTTGTACCTGATCAGGAACTCAAATCCTACATGCTGAGGCCAAGAGATCGATGCTCTTCTGCCGGGGCTATTTCAGGCTCCTGAAGGATCCTCCCTTGGGTACTGGTACCTTGCTGACTGTACTGATTGCACAGTAGTGAGGCTATCAGCATCTTTTCTGTTAGGAATGCATCTTCTCCATGTATTCTACTTAACTCTGATGCAGCACTGATTTTACAGTAGAAAAGATTCCTGCTTTAACCTAATTTTCCAGCCGAGCTGACTGGACATGATGATTTTTCTTTCTTGTAAGGGAAGAAACAACGGGCTGTGGCTCTAGCTATATATTTAAAAGCTGGCATCTAAGAAGCTTTCCTCAAAATTTCAATACAAAGGAAAGAGATTTAGGAAATAAAATGTTGCTTAGTCAGACAGCATAGAGCAGGAGGTGAAGGACAGGAAAAAACCCAGCACACATCCCTGTACCTTCATCTCAGAGGGAAGAATAACAAACCAAACACATGCTGCATTACTGTCATTTTTTAACCATCATTAAAACAGACCCTTTCACCTTTCCAGAGGCAGCTAAAACCAGTTGTCAGATATCTACTCCAAACCTCAATCCTACTGTGCCTGTCCTACAAGGTTTGTTCGAATTTCCTCCTCACTGAATGATGCTTGTAAGGCAAGGAAATTTTTCCAGGGGTTGTATCTGTAAAATATTCCACAGGGGTGAATCTCTGTGCCCACTGCTGACTTCCATGGGATCCTCGATGAGCAGAAGGCAGCAGCCAGGGAGGATTAACTGCAGGATCACATCACTTGCCTGCTGAGCTACCAGGCTAGTTTTGAACTCAAGATTCGAGGGAGGCTCAGTTTAAAACACAATTCTTCCAAACATGTGGCACCTAAACCTTATTACCACATTCCCAACTGCTGAACACCCTGCAAGTGTCATGAAACCACGGACTTACAACAATCTAAAGGCTCTTCATGCAAGTGAAACAACACTGTGGTGGTTTGGTGCTCCACAGCACCTCTGGTGCTCAGCAAGCCCAGATGAAAAACACTCAGCTCTTGGCTGGAGTTAAGGAAGTTTATTTAAAAAGTAGAGGAAGGGCACAAACACCTAAGGACACACAACCAAACAGACTTTGTTGGTTGCACATCCTGAAATTAGGAAAAACATAACCCCCCAAAAAAAGTACAAACAGGAAAATGTAACTGATATTTCTATCTTCCAAGTGTGGCTTTTAAAGCTGTTCTGAACATCACCACAGATTTCTCACAATGACACTGGATTATCTGATACTCTCATCAGATCAGGTCCAGACTCAGACCTAAGTTTTTGCACCAAAAGCTCTCATGTGTGGACAGTGAAGCCTCAGAAGGAGGAGTGACTGCTGAAGGGAAGTGCTGTTCCACAGGAAGAAAATCCCTGCTTCCAACATCCATAAAACCTCCACGTGAAGTCCTGGTTCATAAAAGTTAATGAGCTTGATCAGAAGTCCTGCCCTGGCTCTGGAGATGGATGTGCTTGCATGACACAACACAACAGGGCATGTGGATTCCCAGCCTCAGCACAGCCACACAAACACATCCCAGTGGAGCAGAATCACCTCCCTTCACCTTTTCAGAACAGTCCTACAGGAAACTATGTCATGTGCACCAAGGCATAACTTAAAATCCTCTCTTTTTATGCAGAATGCTTAAAACGTGGACAAAGAGCTTCTCTGTACTGCTTTAGAAATCTGATTCCACCCTTATGTGAAAGGATTCAGTCCAGGATGGAGAGCTGGGTGCTCTGGAATATCAAGTCCTTGGCTTCTCTACTGAAACTGCCAACTGAGGCCCATTTGGTACCAGTTATTTGCTTTCAGAGACACTTGTCCATCAGGTCCCATCCTGAAAATCCCATTTCACATTAGCAACCAAGTGAATCTGGATTAGCAATCTGGGGACAGAAGTCTGGGCACCACCCCAGTCCCACCACCACGTCTGTCCCAGCTTTCAGACCCCACTGTGCTCAGGACTGAAAAGCTGCCTCACACCTGCCCTGAGCACCAGAGCCACTCAGCCCTCAGGGGCTCTGCCAGACCCCAACACGCTCAGGAGGCAACATTCAGATGGATAATTAGATATGAAATAAAGGTGCTTGTTTTCTCTAGAGACGCTGGAATGCAGAGAACCACAGACCACTGGCTGACTGTTAATGAATGCTCATGTTTTCCTGGGTTCAATTCTCTCCAGAAATGAGACAAAAGCCACCCCAACAAAGGGTTTCCCCAGGTCAGGCTCAGCATATGAATTGAGAATGCCCAGCCCAGGCATGTTGAATCTGACAGTCAGATTCTGTTTGCATCCCTGGGCAGAAAAGAATGCTGACCCGTGACAAACCAAGGAAAAAATAAACTAAGACAGTCATTATATTTTATCCATCTGTATCCACTCCAGAGCTGGACATTGCCTGAGCCTGACAGGAGTAGGATACAATAAGCTTCCTTCTGGATGCAGCAGAACAGGCAGTGCTGGAGTCAAAGGCTCCAGCTGTGTTTGCACAACTGACATTATTTTCTAACCTTCTCCAGTTTCAGCTCAGTGCAGGAGCAGAGCCTGCCAGCCAGGAGGGGACAGCAAGGATCACCTTCTCTCATCCCAGCTGCCTGGAACGAGGCAGGACACGCAGATGCCAGATCATGGCTGGCTGAGGCGCAGCTCTTGCTGCAGCGGGAGGACACGAGGATGATGTTACTTCATGGCTCTGTGACTCCACCTGATGCCAGAAACAGGGCAGCAGGAGGCTGCACAGCACCAGAGGAAAAAAATCATTGGCAACAAGAAATTTCCCATCTTCCTGTGGCTGGGAAGTTGGCTGTGCTGCTGAGCCATTCCCTTCAGGAAGGGCACAGCAGGGCACACCCTCAAGGTTAGCACAGCCACAGCTTTGTGATGATGAGACAAAAACCCCAGGGAGGCCCTGGTGAAAGCTCTGAGCTGCACCAGCTCTGCCTGCCTGGCCTCAGATTTCTCCAGTAATTCCCTGGCAGGGAAGGCTCCGTGCTCCCTGCGATGGGAGGAGAGGCACAACCACACCAGCACAATCACTACAGCAGTGACCTGGCATAAAAGCATCCTCCTAAATGAGAGAGCAGCACTCAAGCCTTGAAAAACGTGTGCCCTTCTGCAATCAGGCTCTGCCATGTTTCTCACAGTGAGTAAGGCCTTTGGAACTCTTCCCTTTAGCCCATGTTCTGAATATCTGACTCTTCGGCCAAGTACTAATCACCTCCGTCTTAACTTCCTCAATTAAAAAAAAAAATCCCCACAAAACAAGCAGCCAGGCAGCTTTCCAGGCTATACAACCTAAAATATCCTTCCTACTAGAGATATTTTCACATACAAACTGAACTCAGTGAGTCAGCTCTCCTCAGAGAGATCGCAGGGAAGGGATGTGGGTGTTTCTTCTTGTGCCTCACTGGCTACAATAAAAGATATTGACAAACTGTGGGAGTTCAGAGGAGGAGCAAAAACGGTGAAGGGACAGAAGGGATTGAGCTAAAATGAGGAGGAAGAGCTGAAAACAGCTTTTAGTCAGTAACTCGTATAACAGATGATGATAGAATGTACATGTTTGAGTTTTATGTAAAAATACCAAGGAAGAAGGAGAATTATCTAATCTTGCTTATGGAAGGATAACTCCAAGGGTAACAGGTTTTACACTCTGAAGTATTTAGGGTAGTGACCATCTTCTGCTGTTTGCCCAGTGCCCAACTACTTGGAGCTTCACTCACTGCCACAATCAAACAAATAACTATTAAAAAAAGAAGAAAATCTAGGCAACAAGCTATGATGTGCAGGATGGCCACCCAGGGACAGCAGCAGGAGCTCCTGTGCATGGAATATATGAAAAACAATTACTGTTATGACTGATTCATTCAGGAATCACATCCTGCTCCGGCGGCGCTGGGCTGGGATCCCACATTCTGCACAGCCAGAACCCAAAGGCCACGGGCAGCACAGGGAGACACAGAGATAAGAGACACTCAGCAGGAGCCGGGGATGAACAGGCCACAGGGGTTTGTCCCCTGTCTCTAACCTTTAGGACTGTGTGACAAAACATACCTTATGTCGACAAAGGGGTTTGATACAGTCCAGCCCGTACAGAATGGGTGTCCACAGCTCCCCTGAAACTGCAGCCAGGCACAGACCAGAATCTGTCTGCTTGAAAACCACGGTTGTGTAACACACGAAAGCAATTTATTTGGGAAACCAGACAGCTCTGAGCCTCACAGACAGCACTCAGGCTGTACACTGGGCTGGCCAAAACCCAGGTAAAGGAAGGGACAGCAGGGACAGAGAGCAACCACGAGTCTTTATGGTCAAAAAACAGCACCAGCGGAGCGAGGCGAGCTACAGACCTGTCCGTCCCTCACATTTCCCACCAAGGAGCCGATTACCGGCCCCTCCCCACCCTCACCGCGGGGACCGCCGGGCGGGGCGGCCCCGGCCCTGCCCCGGGTCCCATCCCCGGGGTGCCGAACCCCCCCCCGTCCCCGGGGTGCTGTGCCAGCCCGTCCCCAGCGCGCTGACACCTCCCGGGGGTCCCGCCCGGCTGAGGGGGCGGCGGCGCCGGGCGGGCGGGCGCTGAGGGGGGGCGATGGGAAGGGCCGGCGCGGAGGGGCCGGGGCGGGGTCTCCCAACGCCGTGAGGGCCGGCGGGCTCTCAGCAGGGTGCCCCGGTGGCGGCAGCGCCCGGACGGTGCCCGGACGGTGCCCTCAGCCCCCCGGTACTCACTCAGCCACGACTCCAGGCTCTCCCCCTCCGCCTCCGCCATGTTGCCGGCGCGGCCCGAGGCCCCGCCCACCCCGCGCGAGACCCCCGCGAGGGGGCGGGGTCTGCGCCGGCCCCGCCCCCCGCGGCGGCGCGCGCAGGGAAGATGGCGGCGCCCAGCGTGGCGGGGCTGGGCCGGCGGCTGCGGGCCTGGGTGCCCCGGTGAGCGGCGTGAGGGGACCCGGCGGGGAGCACGGGCGGGTCGGCGGCACCCGGGGCACACGGGCAGCACGGGGGGAGGCCAGGGGGCGGCTCAGCGGGAGCACGCAGGAGGTGGGGGGGGTCTGCGCCGCACAGGGAGCGCACGGAGAGGCCGCCCGCCTGCTGGTTGCCGGGCTCACGGAATGACGGAATTATAAAAACGTCAAGGTTAAAAATGACCGTTGAGATTATTCAGTCCAACTGTCCATGTAATCACTAAACCACATCACTCAGCGCCAGATGCAGACGCTTCCGGAACACCTCCGGGGGTGGCGACTCCATCACCGCCCTGGGCAACCTGATCCAATGCCTGACCACCCGAATAGGGAATAATTTTTGTAATATCTAAACTGAATCTTCCCAGTCTTATCTTAAGGCCATTTTCTCTGGTCCTCTCACCTTAGGCACGGCAGGAGACCAACCCCCACCTCACCACGATCTTTCAGGTGGTTGTGGAGAGCAATGAAGTCCATCCCCCCTCCCCCAGGCCTTCTTTTCTTGAGACTAAACCACCCCAGCTCCCTCAGCTGTTCCTCGTAAGACGTGTTTTCTAGACCTTTCACGAGGATGATGTTACTTCCTGGGTTCACGGTGTTGGTTTGTGCCTTGGGCTCTGCTGCAGTGATGGAGAGGAAGGCAGAGATGCCTCTCACATCTAAGGTGTCCTTCTGAGACGTGTTCACATCTGTCCACATCTGCCCACATCCCTGTCACTGCATGTGTGGGGTTACAGCCCCCCTTCTCTTGTCCCTCCAGGCTGATGCAGGTGAGATGGAGCCGCTACAACCCCAGTTACTTGGAGCCAGAAGTGAACAAGGAATTGTACCAGAAACCTTTGGAGGAGCTGACTGAGGAGGAAAGGGAACGAATGGAGCTCAAGGCTGTTCGACCCATCAAAGCTGCTCCTCCCACTCTGTCCAGCTCTGTGTTCAGCGACCCCATGATCAGGTCAGAGAAAGCAGCAGCTCCTCCTCTCTCAGAGGATCCCACAGAGCCACAGTTCTTGGGAGCTGTGCTGCCCTCCTCAGCCTTCATTCCTGGCTGCACATTGCCTCCTGTTACAACACAGTCCCTTTATTCCGGGTTAATCTTTTCCCATCAGCCAGTCCATTGTCCTACAGTGATTAGAGATAATTACAGATCTAGAAGCACCCAGACTTAACCGTGGGAACAACACAAAGGGGTGGGGGGAGCTTATTTGTGTGGGTGATAAAATCAGAATTCAACTCAGATCCCATCTGACTTTGTGTTTTCAGTAAATTCACCAATATGATGATGAGGGATGGAAATAAAGTGCTGGCCAGAAGCCTCATGACTCAGGTGAGAACTCATGTTTCTTCTCTCTATTATGTTAAAACAAGACAAAATGGAAGGCTGGGACATCAAACCCACTGGAACTGGGAATTACCAGAACTCATGTCATCTCTGTGGTCCTGATGCCTTTCCCTCTGCAAACACACTACTCCCACCATGATAAACCATGATTTCTCTGATAAGATATACAAGCCCCAGCCTCATTAGCTCACAGACCAGGTGACAGCTTAATGGAGAACCTTCTCTTTCCACTCTTCAGTATCCCTGTGACCTTCTGTACTGCATAAACTCAGAGAATACCCTTAAAAGCATAATTTTCTCAAAAGATTTCCTTTCCAGCTCTCTGTCATGCTTTGCCTTCTGCATAACTTGCCTGTGAAGTCCCACGAATGTGTCACCTTCATGACACAGCTTTGACCCCTGCAATGTCTGATAAAGAGACTGAAGAGATGGAATAGGGTGGAATAAAACTTGAGCTAAAAAAACTCCACTGGGCCTGTTGCTTATGGGGCTGGAAAACCATCTCAGGTGAAAATGGGGTGCCTATAAAAGTGATGTAACCTCATGGAGTGGGATAACCCATCTGCTCTGCATGTCTCCTTTCCTGCCTTTGTCCCAAGACTTTAGAGGCCATTAAGAGGAAGCAGCTGGAGAAGTACCACAAAGCTCCAGAAAATGAGAAGGAGACAATTGAATGCAACCCCTACGTCATTTTCCACCAGGCTCTGAAGAACTGCCAGCCCATCATCGGGCTCAGCAACATCACCAAAGGAGGCAAAACCTACCAGGTGAGGAGAGAATTAGCTAGGGAGGGAGATGAACGGGCTTCCACCCCTTCAGCTAAAGATTTTCTCTCCTTGGAAAGAGCTACTTTGCAATCTGGATTAAAACAGCACTTAGAAACTCTGCCCAAGATCAGGACTCCCACCTATGAGCGTGGTAATTCCCCTGTCAGGATCACTAAGGTTGGAAAAGACCTCTAAGATCCTAGAGTCCAGCACTAAGCAGCAGCAGTCTCTGGTTTTCTGACTAGGTGTGAGGAGAAGTGCACAGCAAGTATTTTCCAAGGAGACAGAGACCAGCAGCAAAAGAATTGGCAGTCATGGGACTACCAGTCCCATCCTCTCAGCATCGTGTTGCTTGTGGAGAGGTCCCAAAGCCCTGGGGCAGATCAGTGTGGCAGAAAAGGTCAGCTAGATCCAGTGTGATGTTTAAAACATGAGCAGAACCAGTTTCTGAATACAGGCTCTGTAACCCTCAGAACCTGATGGAGAGATAAGATGTGGAGGCATTTGGAGCTAGATGATGGAGGTTGGAATTACAGGACCTTTAAGGTCACTTTTAACTCAAACTGTTCTGTGATTTCTCTGTATTCAGTGCAGGGATGGGGTGACCTCTCCCATCTCTGCCAGAACAAACCAGCCTGGATCCAGCTCCCATTTAGGCCAGAAGTCCACTCAAAGGCCAGTGCCAGTACCCATGGCTGGTCAAAATTTCCATTTTGGCAGCAGTGGCCAGTTGTGTGGACAGAGGAGGAGAATTGGCACAGATCAGCTGTCAGGAGTGGGTCTGGCTGCAGAGAGCAGCACAGTGCACTTCTGCAGGTGCCAGCTGGTCCTGTGTGGCTGCTGGAGAGGAGCAGGAGAGAACTGCTGTGCTCTGAACCTTTCCCAGGTGCCCGTCCCGCTGAAGGACAATCGGAAGCGCTTCCTGGCCATGAAGTGGTTGATCACCGAGTGCAGGGAGAACAAGCACCGCCGGACACTGATGCCTGAGAAGCTCTCCCAGGAGCTGCTCCTGGCCTTCAAAAACGAAGGGCCCGTCATCAAGAGGAAGCACAGCCTGCACAAGATGGCAGAGGCCAACAGGGCTTACGCCCACTTCCGCTGGCAGTAGGGACTCACAAGGACACGGTGCCACGGCCTGGAGAGCAGAGCCCCAGGGCTGCCTGCCTGGGAGAGGCTGGGGAGAGGAGGGAAGGGTGGACCATCCCTTCCAGACTGCTGCTGATCAAACCCAGGGAGAGCTCACACCATCCCCATGAGGTTCATTTCCTTTGTGCTTGTTTGGATGGGGGAAGGGGGAATCTGAGTTACCGACCCTGGCAGGGATGCTCCAGTTCTTTCATAATCACTTTCCTGTGAAGACAAACCTTAGATGTTTTTCTCAGAGCAATGTCATCTTTCACTTACCTGTTTCCTGGGGACTTGGAAGTCTCTCTGCTCCTGAAATCAGCAATGTTTCTGGCTGCACAGCTAAGAGCAGAGCTGGATGTTTTCCATACCACAACCAGCCTTAGCAGGAATGGAACAACAGGTAATAAAAGGCCCTTTTTCATTTTTGGTTCTGATCATCAGCAACACTCTCTGCACAGATTTGATGGGAATGGTAACAAGAAAATAAAACCAGTTTTATGGGGAAGGTTTCTCAATTCCAAACCTTGGTCTGTGTTGCTTGAATCTCACACTGCACTTTCCAGCTACCCTGGTTCTGGACAGCCAGGCTAATGCCTTACACTGGAGCAGAAACACTATCACAGCCTTAAGGCTTCGGTCAGGAGCAACCCTTAAGCATTGTTCAAAGCTCAGCAGCTGCACAGAGAGAAAAGCAGGGCACGTGTTAGTGGAAAACTTTTATTAGAAAAAAATCCTTCAATAGACTATTTTGTTTCCTTTCTTCCTCTCCCATTCTTATAACAAACATCCCATGGCTGAAACTCGCTAAATTCTGAAAAAAACATGACAGTTATTGTATAAAACTTATAAAACCTGTTCCTACATGTGCTCAGGGACCTCTCCTGGCAGGTATTCCTGGCTGAGGGAGAGGCCGTGTGCATGCAGGTGCAGCCAGCGTGCTGGAAGGAATCTGGGGAAAAAAAAGCACTTGGTTGAGCTATTTGTGAGGCCACAGTGTGTTCTGTGACCTGTCCCAGATATCCAGGTACAACCTGAGCTGTGAGATTTCCCTGCTGCCTCCCACGGCTCTGCTGGCTTTGGGGTGAAGCAAAATGTTCTCAGCCTAAACTGTGCTTTCCTTACCACTCATAGAAAATGCTGGTGTGAGCTAGAAGCCTTAGGAGCCCTTTGCTGGCAGCAGCCCAATATTAAGACAGTATCAGTGGGAGAACTTCCTGGGATAAACGTGCCCTTCCCACTGCTCCACACCTCTGAAGTCAGGCCAGCACCAGCTGCAGCCTGACTGTAGGTGCCCAGGGGCTCTAGCCAGTATAAATCCTATTTACAGGAAGTGCTAGAAAATTAAGGTGAAAAGAAATTCCAACTTGGTACGAAGCTTGCTGGTGAAAGTGCTGGGGACTCCCCTCCTCCGCCGCGGGTGGTTAATCCGTCACTTCGCTGTAATAGTATTTCTGGGCAGCGTCTGTCATCTTCCAGTCAGCAGCACGGAACTCGATGATCTCCAGCAGCAGGAGCTGGGACAGGGAGCTGAGCCCCTCCTGCAGTAGGAAGCCGTCTCGGAGGAGGGAGAAGAGCTCATCCATCCGCTGGGAATTCATCTTCTCCAGCTGCTCGCCGATGCGGTGGAGCTGC